CGTTCAGACTGATCACAGGCCTGGATAGGAAAGGCCCAATGGGAGGAACTCAGCTCAGGCCCTAAGGCTGCAGCAAAATTCCTGATGGAAATTAGTTTGTGAATTAGGGGTGCCCCAAACACCCTTGTGACCTGTAAACATTTATTGGCTCAAAATGTTTATTGATGGACTCTGGGAGCATTGGTTTAGCTGTTGAGTCGTGAGATGGTAGAACACACTTCTTGGGGACACACTATAAAAAAAAGATGTTGAGACTCTAGAAAGAGTGCAGAGAAGAGCAACCAAGGTGATTAGAGGACTGGAGGCTAAAACATACGGTGAATGGTTGCAGGAACTGGGCATGGCTAGTCTGGTGAAGAGAAGGATCAAGGGAGACATGAGAGCAGTCTTTCAACATTTGAGGGGCTGCCACAGAGAGGAGGAGGGGGTCAAACTATTTTCCAAGGCACCCGAAGGCCAGACAAGGAATAATGGATGGAAACTGAACAAGGAGAGATTCAACCTGGAAACAAGGAGAAATTTTCTGACAGTGAGAGCAATCAACCAGTGGAACAGCTTGCCTTCGGAAGTCGTGGGAGCTCCATCACTGGAAATTTTCAATAAGAGATTGGACTCCCATCTGTCAGAAATGGTGTAGGGTCTCCTGCTTGGCTGGGGGGTTGGACTAGAAGACCCACAAGGTCCCTTCCAACTCTGTTAATCTGTTATCTGAGCATCTCCTGTAGGTGCTGAGTCTAGAAAAATCCCCATCTTCAAAGGAGATGGGATCTTGTTGCTGGCTGTCTAGACCTGGTTGTCTAGATCAGCATTGATCAACTATGGCAACTTGAAAAGGTGTGGACTCCAACTCCCAGAATTCTCCCCAGCCTGGGGAATTCTGGGAGTTGAAGTCCATACACCTTCAAGTTGGTAAGGTTGACCAACACTGGCCTACAGGGATTTCTGGAAGTTGAAATCCACACTAAAGTTTCCAAGATTGACAGATGCTAGTTTAGAATGGTGCTTCTGTTTGATAGAGAAACTCCTTAGCTTTTGCAGTAGCCTTTCTCTCCGGTATTGCAGTCTCATAAATTGCTTTTTCCATGCATGATCCCACTGCATCACACAAATATTAATTCATAAGTGTTTTCTATGGAGCTCAGGGCATCCAAAACTTGTTGTCAGCTCCTTGTGCTTGTTTATATTTAACCTGTCCTCTTGAAATTAACAAACATGAGTAAAATCTACAGATCGCAACCCAGACTTCTCAAATATACTTTGGTTTTGAAAAGACATTTTGTTTTTACATCCCTTTTGTGCTAACTTTCTTTTCCTGGTTGCCAAGATGTGAAAACAGAGTAAAACATAAACCAACCTTTTTTTAGAAGCTGCTTGTAAGAAGGTGTTTTATTTATGTGACAGTGGTGGGATTTGGCCAAACTAGGAATCTTGATTTTTATATTTGTCTTTTGTCTCCAGCTCAAGAACAGAAAAAGGAAAGTGGTGAGGTCATACCTGGGCCCAAACAGAAGCAAATAATAATAATAATAATAATAATAATAATAATAATAATAATAATAATAATAATAATAATAATAATAATAAGCTTTTGATTTGGAAAGTAAGGAAAAGAAAAGGGAAAGGAAGCCTTTGAAAAGCTTTATTATTACTCTCTTATTTCCACCACAAAAGTTTGCTGTGAATCTTACATTGTGTCCAAAGAGGTTCTCTCTTGTAGCGAACAACAGCCTTATGTTGTTGCAACCTGGTGGCCCTCTTGTTAAAAAGGTTTTCCCACCATGTCATTGTTACAGGGACTGGAGAATTGCAGACTGACCCTCCTCCTCCTCCTCCTCCTCCTCTTAGTCCTCCTCCTCCCTTTTAAAAAAATCACTTTGCAAGTTTGCAAAGAACAGATTCCCCCATCCCCAGATGCAACCAAATATTCAAGGACCAACATTATGGATCAGGTGGCCAGAAGTATAGGCAATGTTATTGTGTGGGTAGAGTTACTATGAGTTTCAATATTATGACCGCATTTTTCCTCCCAGGTCTCTTTCCCAAATGTTCTTTCCCTTTCTTTTAGCAAGGAAGTAATATTTGCCTAAGCACAACAAAAGGAAAAGGCTTTTGTAAAACAGCTTGGCTACATGCTCCAGAAGTTCAGTGGGATTTATTTCTGAGCAGACACGGATAAATTGGCAAGTACAAAGTTACAAGACTTGAGTTGCCCATAATATTTGGGCTCAAGATAGTCATTGTCCCATTGGCTTATATTCAGGTACTTGCATTTTGGTCATAAACCAGACTTATATAACATTGATTGATTCATTATGGGCCATTAAGTTGTTTTCAACTCCTAGCAACCATATTGATAGATTTTCTTTGTGACATTCTGATCCTAATCTAGTCTTGCAGATCTTTCAGTGGTATATTATGATGTTGACAATGTTATCCATTCAGTTGTCTACAGAGACTCTCAATCTTCCAGATCATGGTTGTCCCAAAGATGCTTTTTCAAAAGGCAACTGGACTTTCTTTGCTTTTGCTTGAAGACGTCTTGGGAGAAATATACATCTGGTTCAGTTCCAAGCGGGGAGAAAGACACTGGCAACATGGAGGTTGATTGGAAAGATGGTTTATTGATGGACAGGACTGCATGGGTTTGAGATCCTGGGCAGCTGACCACATGGAATGGAGATTGAGGGTTATTTATGCCCTCTCTTGGGCCTTGCCCTTGAGCTTCCTGTTCCTGTGCAAGAACATATATTCTGTTGGATGCTGCCAGAGTCCCATGGATTCATGTGGGGTCATGTTTGTCTGAATCAAGTTTGGTTGAAGCTTGGAGGGTGATGCAATGTCCCCAGGTGATTTTTGCAATGCAGTGAGCCATGCTGCTAAATAATCCTATTACATCTTGGAGGGTCATGTCTTAATCCCATCACCCTGGAGCTGAAGGTCTTTTGTTTTGTAGATAGGCTGGCTCAGTTCATTTTTTTATTACTATTATAGATTTTTATTGAAAATTAAAATTTAAAAACATTTGAATGTGGTGATCTTTTGATGTATATCAACAGTCTTTACATTGTTATAACAGCAGTATGTCATCAAACAATATTAACATATATATACACACACACCCTATATACATATTTACATTGTAGATCTTTGTATCCGTTTCTATCAGACATTTTGTTGTGGTATAAACTATTTCTTTGATTTCTATTTCACTTTTTTAAACTTCCTTTCATATCCCTCCAATTATAATTTTTTTCCATATTTCATAGAATTCTGAAGTATCTCGCTCCTTCAGTTCTAACATTAAGCTAACTTGGCGCAGTGTAAATTTTTTTGTATTATTACTTCGTCATTGACTATTTCTTTTAATTTCCATGTTTGGGCAATTGATAATCTTGTGGCTGTGATAATATGAATAATTAGATATATAATCTGCTTTTTTAAGATTCTCATTTGTTGTTTCTAATAGGAACATTTCTGGTGTATAAATTATTTTTAGGTTTAGCACTTCCTCTAACCATTGCCAAATTTTGCGCCAAAATTCCTGCATTTTCTTGCACTCCCACCACATGTGATAATAGGTACCCAGTCCTTCTTAATGGGCACCAAATATCTGCTGGGGGCAGGGAGCTGAAGCTCTTGAGTTTCTGTCTTTAGAAACATGCTTCTCCTTTAGGGAAAATATCATATTCTGCTTTTTAAATATTTCCTAAAATATTTCCTTCTTCTAAGAGGGGTGGGTGCTAACTTCCTGCAGTCGTTTTGCTTCTCATCCAAGAAGCTTCAATTCAATTCTGAAAACCGCAGAGCTGCAGATTTTGTAAATGGTTCGCCATTGCTTCCTCCTTCCTATGGGTAAGAAAGAGTGGCAGGCTCAAAAGTCATCCGGTTGACTTGTACCTACTCAGTGTCTTTAGGTTTCTGAACCACAACCCCCTACTGGCTGTTTCCAAATATTAGATAGCAGAATACATAGAAATAATTGGATAGAGAACACAATGGAATAAACAGTGAATGGAATGCAGGTAACAAAGGTGAAAATATGACTGGCAGGGTCATTAATTTGGACAAAGGGCATGTCAGTGACTGTCTCCAGAGGCCAAAAGGCCCAGGTTGGCTTCCTGGTTGTCATCACAATTTACTTTAAAACCAGGCTATTATTGTATCTTTGAGAAGGTGCTTACACAAGACGTTACCTAGGAACTTTGAAGTAAACTGCTCCCTGGGGCTTGTGATTGTTGACTTGACTTAACATAACAAGATTAATGGCCCCCATTAACCTCTGCTTGAGGGACAGCATTGAGGAAAGACAATTCTAAGAATTCTGTTTACCAAATTACGCAAGGTATTAAGTGCAGATGGCCACGGTGAATGCTTCTATCTGTATAAATGGAGGTGGCCTTTTGTACTGTCACAGCTGCAGTTCACACTCCAAATAGCCATTTTAGTGTGGACCATGGGATATCCCTAGATTACTTTTGGCCTCACAAGGGAGAGGGGGAATATGGTAGGGAATTATTTCTGTTGCATTTGGGTTAATCAGCACAACCACACTGAGATGGATATTGTATCAATCCTCAAGCCAGGCTCATTCTGAGCAAGGAATGGGTAAAGAGCCATGGTGGTGCAGTGATTAGAATGCAATACTGCTGTCTAATTCTGCCGACTGTCAGCAGTTCAATTCTGACTGGCTCACAGTTGACTCAGCGTTCCATCCTTCTGAGGTCGGTAAAATGAGGACCCAGGTTGTTTTGGGC